TTGAAGTTTGATTCATTTTGATGTGTTGAAAGCTTGATGGAACCTCAAATTTGGGGTATGTTGGTATATAAATACATTTTGGGCAGGTCTGTAAAAAAATAAAAAAATAAAATGTTGGGCCCATGCCCAAACAGGAACCGCAAGAACCAAACTGGAATTGGACAGGTCCGGATTGATTGGATTTCTGTATGAATTTTAAGCAAAATCAGTTCAAACCAAACTGATCTACATTTTCAATTCAAGTTCCATTTTTAACGAAAACCGGTCTAAACCGGACTGTATCCACCCCTAATTGGAAGTCCCTCAGGTTCGAATGCCAATAAGTGGACCCATCCGATTGAACCAAAAAAAGCCGGTAAAAGGGCTAGGTATCCGTTTGAGTCGACCCATCCCCATTTTCTCTTCCATGGATCTGCCAAGTGTCATCAAGGGCAGTAAGGACACTTCACAACACTCCAGGCGCTGTCGGTGGAGCTTCGTGGGTCAGCCCCCTCAAACATTATTCCAGTCTGTTCTCTCTTTAAACCTCGAACACTTTCCCATCCCCCCAATCCATCATCGGCCGTCCATTTCCACACAACCTGCTCTACATATAACCCCACAGCACGCAACTACCCACAAGCCCGAAAACGACACCCCGTCAAACTCTTGCCTTACGACAACTCAAAACACCAACAAAAGCTCATAACCTGCAACTTGCTCAGCAAAACCAGTCAGATCCCAAGCTCTCCCATCAACCCATTTCAGCTCTCTCTCTAGCCATCATGAAGATTTGCACTGCTGCATTGGCGGTGGCGGTGGTGCTGAGTGTTTTCTTGGGTGCCAGCAGCGACGGCGATATGCCGTCAACGACTCCGCGGGTGAAGACGGTGAGGGGAAAGAAGGTGTGTGACAGAGGGTGGGAGTGTAAAGGGTGGTCCCAGTACTGTTGCAATCTCACCATCTCCGATTTCTTCCAAACTTACCAGTTTGAGAATCTCTTCTCCAAAAGAAACACGCCGGTGGCGCATGCCGTTGGGTTTTGGGATTATCAGTCGTTTATTACTGCTTCTGCCCTCTTCCAGCCTCTTGGGTTCGGGACCACTGGTGGGAAGCGTATGCAGATGAAGGAGATCGCCGCCTTTCTTGGACATGTTGGCAGCAAAACCTCTTGTAAGTCACCACTTCTGTTAAGTTCTGCGGTGTGTCAAGATTTTTGTATCGAATTGTTATGGTGGGTAATTGTCTTTAATTTGTTATGTTTTTGTTGGATGCTTAAAATGGTTGAATCAAATTTTGAATAGAATGGGCTGGGGTGATTTGATTGGGATTTGTTAAGTTTGAGTGAATTGGGTTTATGAAAAGTTTGTGTTTTCAGCAACTGTCAAGTCCTATCTTCATGGATATGTAGTATATAGATGTGTGTATATATATGTAGATGGTTTAGGATAGAACTGTTATAGTTGGCAGCTGTTGTTATTTGTGATGCTTTTGTTGGATGCTTAAAATGGTTGAATCAAATGTTGAATTGAATTATGGGTTGTGTTTTTGTGGGTGAGGTTTGATTGGATTTGATTGTGATTTGTTAAGTTTGAGGTAATTGGGTTTATGAACAATGTGGGTTTTGAGAAAACATCAGATTGAATTTTACTTAGAACATAGAAACAGGGATGTGAAGAACTAAAAGGGTTAGAAATTTTTATCTTTTACTTTTTTCATATGTTTAGGTAGATCAGCTGAATAATTGATCAATCAAATAAAGAATGAGAATTACAATGATAGTAAATATTAAAACTATGGGAAACAAATGATTGATTACAAATACATGTTGTTAAAACTTGATATTATTGTGGATACAAAGTAGAACAGGCTTAATACAACTCTAGATTGGATAAGCTAGAATAAGCTTTTGCTGAAATTCACATATGCACACCATTGTTCTTATGGTTGATGACGGCGAGAGCAATGATTTTTCCAGGTGGTTATGGTGTGGCCACAGGAGGACCATTGGCCTGGGGACTTTGCTACAACAGGGAAATGAGTCCCATGCAGTCATACTGCGATGACTATTACAAATACACATATCCCTGCACTCCTGGAGCTGAATACTATGGTCGTGGTGCTTTGCCGATCTACTGGTTTGTATTCCTTTTGTTTTTATTTCATAATTAATCCACCCCCATAATTTGTTTATGTGAATTTCCTTTTATTATTTTTCCAAACTCTCTTTTACCTAATAACTTAACCAGAGGATATCAGTTGCCTTGTGGAGGAATAGAGCTGTCATAAAATGAGATTATTCATTGATATACTCAGAAGTAAATGGTAGAGTTGTTTTGTAGGTCCGGCATATTGTCTTCAATTTACATGTCAGTTTGTTGCATGGTCTAGCTATTGTCACTTTTCTCTTTTCCTCAAATTTAGTGTCATACGAGAGTTGTAGATGATATGTTAGTTTATGATGAGCTCGTTGAATAGACAATGTTTGTAAGTTTCTATTGGTGCTGCCATCCAGGAACTACAATTATGGTGCAGCTGGAGAAGCTTTGAAGGCTGATCTGTTGAACCATCCTGAATACATTGAGCAGAATGCTACTCTTGCTTTCCAGGCTGCAATATGGAGGTGGATGACCGCTATCAAGAAGTCACAACCCTCAGCGCACGATGCATTTGTTGGCAATTGGAAGCCCACCAAGAATGATACTTTGAGCAAGAGGTTTCCTGGATTTGGCGCTACAATGAATATTCTTTATGGCGATCAAGTTTGTGGGCAGGGCGACATTGATGCCATGAACAACATTGTTTCCCATTACCAGTACTACCTTGACCTTATGGGTGTCGGACGAGAGGAGGCAGGGACCCATGAAGTGCTAACTTGTGCCGAGCAGGTTGCATTTAACCCAACCAAGGCTGCTGTTACTGCATCTTCTTGAGCTCTATTGGGCCTTGGGTTGCCTGCTCTATCAGATCCATCTTCTTCTCTCATCAGCTAAGCAATTTAAAAAGAAAAAAGAAAAAAATATCAAAACCCATCCGAGGGCAGGACTATCAATAAAAAGATGTCGAAGGTAGATGTTAATATAATTATTTTAATTTTTACGTGTGAAGATGCATATCTGTGGAAGTATATGGTTTGCTGATTGATTTGTTGCCATACTTTGTTAAATTGCTATGTGAATTTTGAGATCCACTCGTTTCCAAGGTCGAAATGTGTGGTTGTGTAGTTTGTAATATGTAATATGTAATATATGAACCATTTTGTCAGACTTGAATGCGTATGGACTTGTGAATTTGTATTTATTTTTTGTGACACCAATGACCCTTAAGTGCATTCACAATGGGCTCTTTAAATCACCTCATTAGACAAATTTTAGGGAGGAATTGGAAAATACAAACCCAATCATACTCTTATCCACC